GGTGGTTGGGTATCCAATATTCATTGTATTACGTGAGAATAATTTTCTTATTCTAATCTCAGTGTTTCTATTTGATAACTGTAGACAGTTGTTGATCTGTTTGCATATAAAAGTTGGTTGAATAGTTTAAAAGGTCTTCGCTCTCGTAAGAAAGTAAACATGGCATGGCAATTAAATAAATGTTTTAAGACACAAAGTAAATAATGACGAGCAGTTCTACCCAAACAACAAAGCAAATGGAAGAAGTTGTTTAAAAACTTTTTTATTATACGATTATATATATATATATTTATGCATATATATATATATATTTTTTTTTTTATTTTTTATAATTTTATTAGGTATAAATCAATTAAATTCAATTTTGCATTTATAACTGTAATATTTATGGTATTCATAATGAGGTTTTTATAACATTTAATTATTTTAAGGTAATTTTTTTTATCTTAAAGCAAATCTTACCTCAATTTAATATTCGTTTCTTTTTTTTTTTTTGTGTTTTTTTGTTTTTCACTTTAACTGCATTTCTTGTCTAAAAGTATATTCTTTTCTATGGTGTTAGAGAAATAAAACATTATTATCTATCTCATCAGTAACGTACGCACACATACATAACAGGGTAAAGATTGCTTATGAAATATTTATTATTTACTTATATTTTAATGTTTAAGTAACCTATGAAAACCAAGATTGTGTAGAAAAGAAACCTAATAACAATAATAATAATATGCATGAAAGTAAACTTTAAATTAGAGCGAATTCTGAAATCCCTTAAAAAAAGAGCAACGATGTTTTTATTTACTTTCCTAAGCAAACAATCATTGCACATGTTCCACGTGAGCGACCGAGTGAGTGAGTGAGTGCGTGCGCGAGCATTGATAGCAAATTTTCAAAGTGTACAAGAATGACTGCTGATCACTACGTCAATCGAAGCAGGCTTAACACTGGAACTGCCCACGTTTTGCATATGCATATTTCTAACGGCATTTTGATTCCTTGTGGAATCGCTACGTTCGCAGAAACTGCAGCCCAACCGGAAGGGTTTTTAGATCGAAAACGCAGGCGGTCCTAACGAAAATCTATATAACAGTCTTTTGACAATATCTTATAGGATGGCCGTCGGCATCTTTTCACAGTTATGGGCCTGCAGTTTGTGGATCACGATATATTCCAGCTTCCAGGCTTTATTTTAAATATTGAAAGAGAATGACAAGGATGCCTTTTAGATAGGAAGAGATGGATGTCATTCGTACCCCGAAAACTATATCAGACCGAAAAGAATTGATTGTACATATTAAAGATCTTTTCATACAAATAAAAATCACGAAAATATTTCGGCACATTCCCTGCCTTATAAGCCGTGCTAAGCTTGAAAGTTGAAGAAGAGACAGAATGGAGCGCTCGGTTGTTTCAGTGTTAACCTGCTTGCATTATTTTCAATTTTAAGACCTGCAGCCTTGGATATAAAAACAGTTTAATATTATAATGAAAGCATTCTCTCCTCAGTTGACTATATATACAGTAAGATATGTCTTCATATTTCGAAGATATCAAGAAGTAGAGAAAACATGCTCTCATCTCATGTAGGATTGTAAGTGGACCCGCTAACACCTCGATGTCGGAAGCAAGGACACTACTAGGCTTTCGACAATTGTAGCAACAATTTATATAATTTTAACTTGAAGACACTAAACAAACATTTAAAATAATGAATTTGAGAGAAGTCCAAAGGGTTCCTTCGTGCACACTGTAGCTAGGGGAAAATAAATTTCACATATCTAAGGAAAGAGGAAAGGTACTCATTACATTATCATCAAATTTTTGACCAATGAGATATTTCGAAACGATTTAGTCGACTCGTCGTTAATTTCTACGTCAGTTTCATATCTCGCCATTAATATGTACAAAAGCACACGTGTCGAGAGAGGATTCGAATTTTTGCATAAATTAAGTTTCAATTTTCAAGTAATTCGTCAACAAACAATTCTACAATACTTAAAAAGTTGAAAGAGGAAGAAAACGCGGCAGTTGAATGCAATATTCTTAAAAAATTTCAATTGCTTTACTTCATCATACTCAGCAATTGAAGATCCTGTCGATTTTCTGTTTAAAGAAAATTTCTGGAAGTCCGAAGTAGGCCTGATGCATACCGTGTCGCATTTAGTCGTTGTCGTTGTGAATGCTATGTCCTGAGAAAGCTTCGCATTCAGTTGATGCAAAAGTTGATGCTTTTGCGTTTTGCCAACACACATTCACATTTATTTGTGAATAGACGAACGGAAAACGCTTTTTGTCTTGTTCTCTGAAAACATTTTAATAGCATCCTCCTCATCTAAGCAGCTTTATAAGAGCTTATCAGCCAAGGTAATCTCGAGCCTAGATTTACTTGAGAAGTTCAAGGTCTCAGCTAAATCAAACATGCTCAATTACCAGACACCGGAAAGTAGTTCACTACTATAATCGCTCACTTCTGATTATTGCCAATGGCGTATTACAAAATATAAAGAATTTATCAGAATTTCGTCTCGTTTTGAAAACGCAATGACCTCCCTTTAAATAAATAAATCTCATATATTTCCTATTAAATTATCTGTAGATAGTTATCTTTCACAAAAGGTAAGTGTTTCTAAACGCGTCTCTTAGAAAAAGCGCCACGACGTAGTTATCAGTATTTAAGTCTCCTATATGCTGATGCTTGACGCGGAAGTTCGCTACATTTCGCACATCGCTATATGAGAAAATATTCTTAACATGCTGTAGAAAAAAAAAACAAATTCGAAATTTTCCTTCAAGAATTCTTTTGAATAACTTTTCACAGATGTGTATCTTGACAAAAGTCATCCATAGCAAAATCATCAACTTGGTGTGGAGGTCAAAATAAAAATGTCAAATATCTTGACCTTACCTTACCTTAGGAATCTGAGCAAAGGTAGCTTTTAAATGAATAAAGAAAAAATGTTTGTTTTCTTCAAACCTCAACTTTCCCAGTCCAGCGTCGCTATTTTTAGATATATAAATCATATATACGAACAAACCATTATTGAAATGAATAAAAGAACTTTAGAATTTTTGAAAATTTTCGATATATTATAAGGTCTTGAGAAGGCCGGCCAAGTTGCTTTAGTTGTTCAGCGGAATGGAAATAAAAACTGTTAGGGGGAATGGAAGAAAGCAGAAGATGCATTCCAAGCGAAAGTCATATTTCAGTTTGCATTTGCAAAATTCTTGCGCATTCATGAATTTGAGAAACAAGTTGCAACGATTCTTCTTCTTTTTTTTATCATTGTACAAACAAACACATAGCGATTGTCGTGAACGTGATGATCGGCGATGCCGTTTGCCTACAAGCAAATATCATAATTTAAATATTGATCAAATGTAAAAAGTTCCTTATCTCAAAGAGAAGAGCTTCAGACAAACTGTAAACAATCAAGAGTAGGCAAAAAAGTATGCATCCTATAAATGAAATGCTTTTTTTTTTTTCAATTACATGCATAGATTCCCCTTCGATATCACAAAGGAATCGCGGACTAGGCAACAATTTTAACAAATGTATTACGTTTCAAATTTTTGTTAGATTTATTAACAAAAGCATTAATTAAATTAAGAAAATTCTTTAGTAAACTTTTTCAAAATTTATTTAAAAGCAAAAACAATTAATTGAAAATAGTTTTTAATTCTCATTCTTTTACTTTTTCTTTCCGTGTTTCGTTTTCTTTCGCTTACAGGCAGAACCCGTACTAACGACAAATATCGTGTTGTCTATACTGATTATCAACGCTTGGAATTGGAAAAAGAATATTGTACATCGAATTATATAACCATACGTCGTAAAACTGAGTTGGCTCAGACTTTATCGTTGTCTGAACGTCAAGTGAAAATTTGGTTTCAAAATCGTCGAGCCAAAGCACGTAAGCAAAATAAAAAAAGCAATGACTCGTTGAGCGTTCAAGGCTACGGAAATTTCGAAACAAAGCCGAAATTAGAGCCAGGATTACAGCATTTGCAGCATTCTTTCCACTCGATGAGCTCAATTGCAGCTATCGGTATGCCTACGATGCGGCTGAATACACATTTACCCAGTCATCATCCGTTGACGGTAAGCGCTGCAGCAGCAGCCCATCAATTACATCTTCATCAAGGATCACCGCATACTCAAATGACTGCTGCAGCCGCAGCTGTAGCCAGTGTCGGATCCTTAACTATGTGACAACCTTATTGCGGTCGAAATGTAGCACGCAATCAAAACAATCCAGTTCAAGACGTAACTTTATGTGATGTTATAAACGGTAAGGGATGTAATGGCACCGAAACGACGGACGAAGTAGAAGCTGCTTTAAGATGTAACGAGCTTACCTTCACTTAATAACATCAATCAATGAAATGTAAAAATTAGCAAAGAAACAAAAGAAAACAAAAAAACAAAAACAAAATAACACTAATAACATAAGACAATCTCTCAAGCGAACTATTTGCCGCATTACCGATTTAAATTCAGCGTAAAGGTGTCTACAACACTTCATAGAAGAAATAAAATCTTTTTATGAAAAAAAATAACAGCATCCGAGTGAATATCCGTTAAACGCAACCTTATTACTTCTCCATCTTTCCTAAGCAAAACAAAAAACAAAAAGGAAAGAAAAAATTAAATTAATACAAGCTAAAGTAAATGCATCAAGCGTGTGATTAACGCACATACTAGAGTGATCAAAATTAAACTGAATTTGTTTATAGAATAAGAAATCCTTATATATGGCCTCAAATCTGTCTCAATTTCCTTACCATCAGAGTACTCGCCGTCCGACACACTGCATCTATGCTAACGTTTTTCCCACTCTTCGTAAATTACTTAGATTCGGGATTTATCTCCTCAATCTCCGCCCTCTCCAAAGCGGATATTTAAGTTTGACGAGCACATATATACTAGATCAGGAGAATACAGTGCAGAAAATACTGCTTCCCCGACATTAGCGAGGCGTTTCTTTTCCAAAAATAATCGCGTGTCTTATGAACCAATCAAAATTTCATGTGTTTGAGGCACGAAACATCTTTTCAAATAGTTTATGTTGATCCAAATTAACTCCCCCTCCCCCTCCCCCACCCTTCTCACTCTCTCATTGTCAACTGACAATTTTCAAGCAACCAACCTTTACTCTCTTTCAAGTGACTTTCACCTGCAGATATTGATGGCCATCCAGGCCGCTGTTTGACTCATTCTCTTCTTCTCTTCTTTTTCTACCTCCTCTGAAGTCTTTGTACCACTTGTAAACATTTCCTGGCGGCTTAGTCTCCCCATCAAAGGCTTTCTGTTTCCGCGCTAGAATATTCATTCCACATATAAAAATTGTATGCAAACTCTTCGATCGGCTTGATCGGATAACTCTGCAGCAGTTGAACGTATTGATGTCGAAGATAGTGTTACCAATCGTTACAAAAAAAAAAAAAAGAAAAAATTCATGATTTCACAGTAACCGCCCAGCTTAAGTAAAAAATTCACTTTAGTTTCTGATCATAGTAGCATAGCGCGTTAGGGAAATTAAGTTCTGTTCGCCCCCTTTTCCCTTTAACATATTTTCAATAAAATCAATATCCATTACTTAAACAGATTATACAACAGGAAAATATTGAATAGTCCGTCTTTTCTGGATGCTGCTAGAGAAAGATCTTATTTGCCATATGCATGCATATAAAATATTGTAGAGTACACAGACGAAGGGTTACGCTCTTTCATTAATAAAGTAACGACCTATCTATCTATCTATCTATCTATCTATCTATCTATCTATGTTTAAGGCTGAAGTGATGTTAGTTTTAAGTTTAAAAAAGAAAAAAAAATATTCTTAATTTTATCAGTTAAACAAACACAGCACGTGATTAATCCGTAAAAATTTATAACGCAGTTATTGTTGTTGTTATTATTAAAATAGTTGCTGTGCTTGGTGTGCGCTACTTTGATTGTTTAGTTAGATGTAAATAAAATAAATTAATTTAATTTCTTTCGGTTTTTTTTTCTTTTTTTTTTGTTTCATTTTAAGTAATTCATCTCATTTTCTTAGATAATAGCTACCTATGTGTGACAATAGATCATTATACATATATACATTCATACATACATACATACATACATACATGCATACATGCGTACATACGGTAGATCATTGAGCATACACACTAACCATGCTTGTGATTAAATACAATACAATCATATACATACATGCTAAAGCGTAATCCCTTCGCAACGAGAAATTTTTGAAATAAAAAATTTTTAGACTTTGTATGATATTTAAGAAAAAAGAAATTATTCAATTAAATTCAAAAATGAATTTTATTAAATATTAATTTAAAAAAAAATTAATTTCTTTTTTAAATACTAATTAAAAGAAAAACATATTGGGTTTTTAAATTTCAATTTTA